ACTACTCTGGGTCTAACAACCAATACCACAAGATATGTGATTTGAAAAGATGGTTTTTGTTCACTCATTAAAGAACAGAGCAAACTAATGGCTTCATTAAAATCTCTTTTGTGTACTCTTTTCTAATAGCCAAATTAATCTATCCAAGCCAAGGGTGCCAAACATATTTTTAAGATATTAAAAGTTGACTTCAATTTAACTGCAATATACTGATACAAGTTCTAATACTAATACAATTTACAGGTATCTCATGTCAACACCTCACCTAAAATGAAGTCCAAAGTTTGGTGAGACCAATTTGCAAAATTGCCCTCTTTTGCCTGCAAAAAAATAAGGCACCTGTGAATGCAATACGGCAGTGATGATGTAGAGCACATAGGAAAATTTCAGCAGGTTCCTCTAACCAAAGAAACAGTGTCGCAAAGCTCCACAAGAAAATCAACAGAGGCCTTAAGCTGCTCCACCTGATCTTCATAGCTCACCTCTGTATTTGTAACAAAAATTTACATCAAATAGGTTTATACTAAACACCATTCTTGCTCTTAAATACTCATGAAATCAGAAACATAATGTCAAAGAAATTCCCCACCAGCTATCAAGAAAGCAAAATCTAACTTGGTTACTCTAGAATGTCATACATTCCTCATTTTGACATTAAAATATAACAAATCAAAGAGTCGAAAAAGGTCATAAAATTGAATGTAGAACTATAATATTAGACTATCAAACTTGTAATATGTTATAAACTAACATTTCAATTTATCGTTCCAATGTAAATTAAAATTAGCAAAAAAATTAACTACATATTAAGTAAACGAACTTCAAAATAGAACTTCACTTTTACATAATATACCTGTAAAACGTCGTCGTTGATTGGAATAGCCTGTTCTTCTCCTCCTTTCCTTCAGTCTCAGCGCAAAATTAGCAAACATTTTAACAACAACAGCAACGGTAGTTGCTGATTATCATTAAAACAACAATAAGAGAATAAATAAAAATGAACTTGTCTGATAAATCTGCGGCGAAGAACGTCATTGAACCGACAATAAGAGGCATCTCCGTCGATCTTAGGGCTTAATTTCCCCAACCTATCAAAGAAATAGCACTTACAAGAAGCTGATTGCGGAAACAAATCGCAATGCGAAGAATCTAGATCCAAAATAAGACAATTAAATAGAAAAAAATCAATGAATTATTAAAACGGAAAAAAAATTCAGAACCTAACCTTCAGCTTCTCTTAGATCCTCTCTCAGCCTGAGAAGCTCTTGCTTCCGTTCCTTCATCTGAAATTTCAATAAAATTAGGATCTTTTTGGTAATGGTGATAACTGAATTCTAAAAGTTGATGGAGATTTAGAGAGACCTTCCGCTTCCAGCGAAGTGCATCGGATTCGGAAGAAGGCTGAGTGCTTTGATTCTGACTAAGGCAGAGCTTTGATCGGAAAGAGAAATTTGGACGCCGAGCTTAACCGATTTGTCGTTGGAAGCTGAAGATTTTGAATTTCTATTCATTTGCATTTCAGTTGTTGATATTTTTGTAAAGGGCGGTAGATAATGAATTTATCATAACATATGGCACAGCAACATTTTTATCTTTTCAAAGAATAAACGATATCGTTTTTGTTACTATATTTTTAAAACTTCACATATTAGAAGGTGTGGTTTAAATTATCAAATACGAAGTGAATAAATATATAACATGGAAAAGTTCCGAGCATAAACCCTAGAGTATTGGGTGGGCTAATACAATTAACATGACTGAAACCAAGCTTAATACAATTAATATGACTTAAACCGGGCATAAGACCAAACAAGCTTAAGCCCAAAATAATAAGACAGCCCTCAAATATAATAATACAATTAACTTGATAAAAATGAATTTGGATAGAATTCACTCTAAAAAACTAACTCAATAGAGAAGAGAATTCAATCACGTATATATACATCTTAACTACTTAGCAACTTAGCGATGTAAGACAATTATAACTTCAAACACTTAGCAATTATTTTTTTTTTTCTTTGTTGTCTCCTATAAAAACAAAATGATATCTTAGAAGATTAAGATTAAGATATATTTTGTCAAACAAAAAAATTGCTTGGCCTTGTTCTATCAGAGAAGACTCTTAACTTTCTAAGTCAATCAAAGAGGAAATTAAGAAAGCATTCATATGAGATTTTCTCCAGGTGATTTAACTATTGTTAAAAAATTATAAGTAACTAAACAAATTTTCTACTTTGAACAGATGATTCATATTATTAAAAAAACTCTATTGAATTAATTCATTTGACTTAAATAACATCTTTGGAGTTTTCAGGAACATAATTTTCTTTCTTGAGTAAATGATACTTTTAAAGTCAAGGATGACTAACATAATACTGAAAACAAAGATTGATTAAACAAATAACTAAATTAGATTTTTCAATTGACAAAAAAATTAAAGCGTTACATGGATAGCTAGCTGGCGATGTTGCACTTAGTACAATTTTTTTGTTTTGAAGCACATAATTATGATTACTTTAGTCTCTATAAACTCAATATATGTTTAAGTATAAATTAAGATTGAGAGACAATCCTAATTATAAGAAGATAAAAAAGAAAGGTCTATGTATGTTGTTTTTTCTAGAATAGCATAATCTTTCCCTTTCCAATGCTAGTTTCTTTCTTTCTACAATGAATTGTGTTCTCAAACAAAGTCTTTTATGTCAATCCTCGCATATTAAAATTCATTACTTGTTGTTATTGGGAGATAAGAAAGGAAAAACAATAAGATAAATTTAATAGTTTTAATTTAATATTTTTACAATAAACCGGTTAGTAAACCTGGTTTCGGTTAACTAGTTTTCATATTCTCCCAAACCGGTAATCAAATCAAAAATTCGGTTTTTTCATTTTCTTTCGAGCGAAACTGAGTCGATTTTTCTGATAACCAAAAATTCGATTCGGTTATCAGTTCCATTCGATTTTTGTACTTTTTTGAACACCCACGAGGGACCCATTTGATTATATATAATATAATAATAATTTGAAATGGTGAATTACAATTTATGCACCCTTAGTGATAACATCCACTTTGAGTAGTATTAATTTTGTGAGGACAATTACCACCACCTCCCCTAAGGTTTCTAGAAAATCAAAAGCACACCCCATCGTATTTTGAAAACACAATTACACAAGCATCTTGTCTTTGACCTCTCAGTTTGCAAAATTATCAGTCACCTCCCCTCTTGACTCTAGGTTATTGCACGATCAATGGAAAAAAAATTATAAAAATGATAAATATTCCAACATTCATCAAGGATTCTTACTTATGTTAAGACTGCAGTTGCAATATGCAAGCTACAACTCAGATGATTAAAGAAGGCAACGTTAGTATCAAAGCCTTTTTAAGTAATGTTAGTTGGAATGACTAAAACACACCGTTTTAGTATCTATTAGCAGATGGTCTTGAGTAGCCTAGGATTGATCTTACGGCTAGGAGCTTTGTAATATGTGTTTCTTTATGGTTAATTGAATAGTACATATGTAATATTGAAGTTAGTCATTTGGATTGCCAAACCAGCTTTAGATTGTAAGTATATAAACAATTGAAAGCATTCAGATGTAATTTTCACTTTTGAAGAGAATAATACGAGAAGAAGAGAAAGTTCCAGTTTATCATTTTCTTTCAATTAGCTTTGAGCTTTCTGCAATTGATTGCAGTGTGGTTGACTCTAGGTTATCAAATTGATAATTTGTCAGCTTATATGTAGAGCAAGCCAGAAAACGTATCCTCTACTTGCTTGAATGATTTTCATCGCAAACAAAATTAGACTGAGAGCTGAAGGTATTAATCTGTTGTTTGAAAGGCATGTATCTTATGAAAGTAAAATGTACTTCAAATAAAATATATGAGGTTTCATATAATGATTCTTGGAATGTGAACATTTTTTCATAATCCATGAAGAAAAGACAATCAAAGGCAAACAAGAGATGTTAAATGGTGAAGTCTGCGACGTCGTTTAAAGCCAAGCAAAAACGTTGTCGTTTTGTTCATTAAACACCAGTTGATCTCAGCCATTCAAATTAAACATGATCCGACGGCTCCAACACCTTCAGAGGTCAACGATATAAAAGGAGGCTTTTAGTCTTGGGTCAGTGCGCGTTTTAGGTTTTGTTTTCTCTCTGTAAAACACGAAAATAGCGTGGGTTAGGGTTTGTCATTCCGTTTGATTTTTTTTGTGTAATCTGTCAAGAGTCTTGATTAAGGGGTTAGAAATTCCTTCTAGTTGTGAGTACTCTGGTGAGCGTGCAGATTTACGGGTACAAAGGAAATCTAGGTGAATGTGTGATTGTGTTGTTGACAGTGAGTGAAGACGTTTGTAATCTGTATTGTTTGTGGTGATTAATCCAAGTGCAGCAAGCTCCATATTCTGGAGTTCAACGTGGATGTAACTTGTTCTACATAGAACAAGTGAACCACGGTAAATTGGTTGTGTATTGATTGATCTGTTTGTGTTTGGTTTGATCTTGAATTGGTGTTTATGTTTGCAAGATTAGGGTTGGTTTACAACAGTGGTATCAGAGCCAAAAGTTCTAAGGTGTATTTAGATTTAGAAATCGTTTAACTCTTGATGAATTTGAAAATTAGGGTTTGTCGGTTTTAGGGGTTTTTTTGATTTAAAGGTTCCTAGATCATTAGGACTTCAAATCTTGCTAAGTCTTGGGATTAATTCGTGAGATTAGGTCACAAACACAAGGGATCGACGAAAATCGGGCAAAATCAAAATTAGGGTTTTTGATTAGGATTTGGGGGTTTTCTTTCGAATTAGGGTTTCGAATCGTCCTGAATCTGCTTAAGGGTATCTAGGCTGGAAAACCAGTAACCGCCTTAAAAACTGTCTGGCAGTACTTGGCAATCTTTGGTATAACAAAGCCACGTACTCCTTAGACTATTCTACCCTGTCATTATAAGTATGATGAACACTACCACGCATGTAAAGATATCCCAGTATAATGGGAAGATGGATTTCAATACCTGGAAGAAGAAGATGAAGGCGCTTCTATCCCACAACAAGGTGGGAATAGCACTGGAGAAAGATGAAACCAAGTGGCCAGAAGAAAAGACAAAAAAGAAAGCAGAGATAGATGAAGAAGCATACAATCTGATAATCATGAATTTATCAGACAATGTTCTGCGAAAAGTGGATGGTCTTGACACATCAATAGAGCTCTAGGGTAAACTCAAAACTTTGTATGCATTGAACTCTGCTCCTAATTTAGCATTCTTGAAAGGTGCTCTGTTTTCTTATAAAATGAATGCCTCTAAGTCATTAGAAGAAAATTTAGATGAATTTCTAAAAATGATATTAGTGCTAAAAGGAACTGATCAAGAATTAGGTAATTCTAGTCTTGCAATGATTTTGTTGAATTCTCTACCTGATGAATATTTAGTAGTAAAGAATGTATTGCAGTACACTGGAACACTCCCTAGTGTAGACCTAATAAAGGCTGGCTTAAAATCTAGAGAACTTTAGTTGAAAATACAAAAGAGAAATGGGAATAATCTCTTTGTAAAAGGCAGACAAGAAACTGATCACTTAGGCAAAGAAAATGAAAAAAATGCCTAACAAAGTTTAGGTTTAAAGAATAGGAAGAAAAAGAAGTCTTACAATAACAAACCTAAATCAGAGACAAGAAAATGCTTCCACTGTAACAAGCCTGGACACATTAAAAAGAATTGTTATGATTGGATTAGGAAGCAAAAGCAAAACAGTACAGAGAGTAACTTAGCATCCTCTAGTAATAGCATTGAAATCACTGAAGCCCTTAATGTGTCTAGTTCTGAAGTTGCTAATGAATGGGTGCTAGACTCAGGATGTTCTTTTCATATGAGCCCAAACAAAACCTGGTTTCAAAACCTTATAACTGGTGAACCTGAAATAGTGTTTATGGGAAACAATAACTCATGCAGGGTTCAAGGGATAGGCAACATCACTCTTAGACTTAAAAGTGGCAGACTAATAATGTTAACCAGAGTTAGGTATATACCAGAGCTTAAGCGCAATCTAATCTCATTAGGCACACTAGATGAAGCTGGCTGTAGCTATAGGGCTGCAAATGGTTGCATTACTGTTTACAAGAATGATCAAATTCTGTTTGAAGGTGTTAAACGGCATGGTCTGTACATATTGTGTGGTCAACATCATCAGTTGAATGTTAATTCTGCTTTTATATCTACTAACATTTCAATTGCAGAGAAATGGCACCTAAGGATGGGCCATATAGGCCAAACTGGTATGAGCTACCTTAAACAACAAGGGTATTTTGGTAATGAAAATGTGTCAGATTTAGGATTCTGTGAAACCTGTGTCATGGGTAAATAACACAGGCTGAGCTTCCCAAAAGGAACTCACATGTCTGTGAATTGTTTAGAATACCTTCATACTGACTTATGGGATCCTGAAAGAGTCAAAACACATGGGGGGAATAGTTATTTTTTAGCCATAGTGGATGATTTTAGTAGGAAGGTGTGAGTTTACCTTCTTAGGACCAAAGATGAGGCACTAAGTAAGTTTAAGAGTTGGAAGACCTTAGTAGAAAACCAACTGGAGAAAAAGGTGAAAGCACTCAGAACCGACAATGGTCTGGAGTTTTATAATGCTGAGTTTGATGCATACTGTAGAGACCACAGGATTATGAGACATAGGACAGTTAGGAGAACACCCCAGCAAAACGGAGTTGTTGAGAGGATGAACAGGACACTATTAGAGAAGGTTAGGTGTCTCCTTTTCACAGCTGGACTACTTAAGTCCTTTTGGGGGGAGGCCCACTGCTGCCTATTTAGTAAATATAACTTCCTCTAGTGCAACTAGTTTCATATGCCCTAAAGAAAAATGGACAGAAAGAAAACCCTCACTTAGCCACCTAAGAGTATTTGGCTGTGCAGCCTATGCACACACAGTAGATGGAAAATTAGAACCAAGGTCCCTAAGATGTGTGTTTTTGGGGTATCAAGAAAGGACCAAGGGATATAGGCTGTGGGAGAGAGAAACTTTAGGGGTTAAGGTCATCATCAATAGAGATGTTGTTTTTAACGAATGTGTGTTCCCTTGCAGGGTTACTAACATCAATGCAGGTACATCAAGCCACCACGTGGAGACTCCACAACAAATAGACAGTACCCAGTTTAAGGTGGAGTCAACAAGGCAACAGGAGCTTGAGACCAACACTGATGAACCAGAATATGAACCTGAGCACACTACAACTAATACTGAACTTGATGGTGAAGATGAGAATGAGGAAAACATTGACAATGCCCAACAGATGATCTGGCACAGTACCAACTAGCCAAAGACAGAACAATGAGGGAAATAAGACCACCAGCAAGGTTCAGTTATGCAGACCTCATCTACACAGCCCTGCTGGCTGGTGTAGAGATCCAGAGGACAAAACCTGACTCCTATGAACAGGCCATAAACTCAAAAGACAGAAAAAATTGGCTCACTGCCATGAATGAGGAGATGGACTCCCTAAGGCAAAACAAAACCTGGATTCTGGTCCCAAAACCCAAAGATGTCAAGCTGGTGGACTGCAAGTGGCTGTACAAGCTAAAGGAGGACATCAACAAAACTGATCCACCAAGGTATAAGGTCAGGTTAGTAGCCAAAGGCTACACCCAGCGAGCAGGTATAGACTTTATTGAAATTTTTTTACCTGTTGTTAAATTCAAAACTATAAGATTGATGTTATCTATAGTAGCCCATTATGACTTTGAGTTAGAGCAGTTAGATGTAAAAACTGCATTTTTGCATGGAGAATTAGAAGAACAGAATTATATGAGTCAACCCATGGGGTTTAGGGACAAACAATTTCCTGATCATGTATGTTTGCTGCATAAATCTTTGTACGGACTTAAACAGTCACCTAGGTAGTGGTACAAGAGATTTGACTCTTTTATAGTAGGTATAGGATTTACTAGAAGTGAGCATGATAATTGTTTCTATTTTGCACATGTGGATACAAATCCTGTATATTTGTTATTATACGTTGATGACATGCTATTAATTAGTAAATCTAAGGTCTAGATTGAGGATTTGAAAGGAAAATTGCATGCTGAATTTGACATGAAGGATTTGGGCTGTGCTAAGAAAATTTTAGGTATGCTAATAGAAAGAAACAGGAATAATTGCAGTCTAAAACTGCACCAGATGCCTTATCTGCAAAAACTTGTGTTAAAGTTTGGAATGAGTGACTCTAAATGTGCCTAAATGCCCCTAGCTAGTCACTTCATCCTGAGTAAAGCCCAAAGTCCTAAAACAGAACCTGAAAGACTAAAAATGGAATCCATACCATATGCAAATGCTATTAGTTCTGTTATGTATTCTATGATCAGTACAAGACCTGATTTATCATATTCAATATCACTCCTAAGTAGATTCATGTCAAATCCTGGATGTGATCATTGGAATGCTTTGAAATGGCTGTGAATGTTGGTCTAAATTTCTGTAAAAGAAACTCCTTACTTAATCTGGTTGGGTATGTAGATTATGACTTTGCAGGTGATAGAGACTCTCGGAAATCCACCACAGCATACCAGTTTACTTTTGGAGGTAATTGCATCAGTTGGAAGTCCCAATTACAGCCACTAGTAGCACTGTCCACAACTGAAGCGGAATATGTGGCTATAACCGATGCATTCAAAGAAGCCATATGGCTTCAAGGATTCCTGAGAGAGGCCAAGCTGCTGGATGGAACTATGACTGTCTATTCAGACAGTCAGAGTGCCATTCATCTGGGAAAGAACCCTGTGTACCATGAGAGAACCAAACATGTTGACGTGAGGTATCATTTTGTGAGGGATATGATTTCCAAAAGAGAAGTGAACCTGCTGAAGATCCCAACCGAGAACAACCCAGCAGACATGGGAACCAGGGTTGTAACACTTGCAAAGTTCAAGCACTGCTTGAACTTACTGCATGTGGGATAACTTGTTTGAACCATGAAGGAATATGGAAATTGCTTGCTGCATAAAGAAAATACTGCTAGAAGAGACAGCCACAGACTTCAAGGTGGAGATTGTTAAATGGTGAAGTTTGCGACGTCATTTAAAGCCAAGCAAAAACGCTGTCGTTTTGTTCATTAAACTCCAGTTGATCTCAACCATTCAAATTAAACATGATCCGATAGCTCCAACACCTTTAGAGGTCAACGATATAAAAGGAGGCTTTTATTCTTGGGTCAGTGTGCGTTTTAGGTTTTTGTTTTCTCTCTGTAAAACACGAAAATAGCTTGGGTTAGGGTTTGTCATTCCATTTGATTTTCTTTGTGTAATCTGTCAAGAGTCTTGATTGAGGGGTTAGAAATTCCTTCTGGTTGTGAGTACTCTGGTGAGCATGTAGATTTACGGGTACAAGGGAAATCTGGGTGAATGCGTGATTGTGTTGTTGACATTGAGTGAAGACATTTGTAATCTATATTGTTTGTGGTGATTAATCCAAGTGCAGTGAGCTTCATATTCTGGAGTTCAACGTGGATGTAACTTGTTCTACATAGAACAAGCGAACCATGGTAAATTGGTTGTGTATTGATTGATCTGTTTGTGTTTGGTTTGATCTTGAATTGGTGTTTAGGTTTGCAAGATTAGGGTTGGTTTACAACAAGAGAAAAATAAATTTAAGTTTTAGGCAAATTTTTAGTTTAAGAATTTGTAATTAAGAATAATTATTATTTTTTTCTATTGTGAGATGTATTAGGAAAAAAGAATTGATTTATTATAATGATTCTTAGAATGTAGACATTTTTTATAATTGACGAGAAAAGACAATCAAAGGCAAACAAGAGAAAAATAAATTTAAGTTTTAGGCAAATTTTTAGTTTAAGAATTTGTAATTAAGAATAATTATTATTTTTTTCTATTGTGAGATGTATTAGGAAAAAAGAATTGATTTATTATAATGATTCTTAGAATGTAGACATTTTTTATAATTGACGAGAAAAGACAATCAAAGGCAAACAAGTGAAAAATAAATTTAAGTTTTAGGCAAATTTTTAGTTTAAGAATTTGTAATTAAGAATAATTGTTTTCTTTTTCTATTGTGAGATGTATTAGGAAAAGAAGAATTAATTTATGATTTTATTTTAGTTAAAATAGGAGAATAGTTTAAATTAGAAGAGTTTTATTAAGAATAAGAATAGGAATATGAATCCTGATAGAATAAGAATGTCATATTATAGCTATTAATAAAGAAGTTAAAATAAGTAAATGACAATTCTCTCTCGAGTCTCGCCTTTGAATCTCTCATCAGTCATCACTCATCAGTAGACCTCACCTGACTCATTCATTCTCTCAACTCTCAATCTCTCATCCGTGAGCCGTGATCCCATTTCTAGTCCCACCGTCGCCGGTCGCCCTCACTCATTGTCGTCAGCTCGTCATCTCCTCTCTCTCTCTGTCGCAAGACTCGCGACTCTCCTCCCCACCATTGCAGTCGCAGATTGGTGAGTTGGGTTTCAAGATTTGTTTTTATTATATCCATCTTTGTTCCAAAAATGCTGCAGCTTATTTGATGCTTAATTGACCTCTGTGATCATGGTGTACTGTTGTTGGGTAGAATATCTTTCACAAGATTTGTATATTTAGGGTGAAATCTCTGTCACGAACTATAATCAGCCAAAAGAAAAACCAGCAAAGTAAGAATATATTAAAAACTCAGACTTAGAGCTTTGTAATTGGTGGGTAATTTAATAGAATGGTTGAAAAGTAACTGCATGTATTGATATTGTCTGTCTATATGAACAATAAATGTTGAGGATTGTGCTTAGTGAATTGCAGGTACTGTTTTTAGAGTAATAGCTATCCTTGTAAATATGGTTTTGAAATGAAGCTGTTTTCACAGGTAGTAGCTTTGTAGCTATAATGAACTAATTGTCTAATATGATGCGTATAAGACTGAATGCTTGGTAAAATGTTACTGTAACTAGAAAATATTTGGGTTGACTTTTACCCAGTCAGTATTTGATTTCCTAACACATGTTAGATGAACTTATTTGCATTATTCATTTCAAAGAGTGGTGTTTTCAAGAAAACTCTGTCATTATATGTTGCAATTCAGGATGCCATGTAAAACTTCCTTTACGTCGTTCCCCTTGAACTTAATTTTGGAAAGTTTGAGAAATTTCTGTCTTCAAGCTCTATGCAAAGAAATCAAAGATAAAACTAATACACATTTTGAAACCAATGCATTTTTGATAAGGCATAGGTAGTATTACTAGGGTGAACTGCTAGAAGAATTAGTTGTTATAAGCAATGAACCAATGAGACTGCATTATTAAGAGTGTTATGTTTTGTTTGTGGAAGCTGATGTCTAGGTAAGGGATCGCATTGGAAATAAGTGGGCATGGAAATGACACACGCACATTGTCATAGAATAACATCACTTTACAAAGTTTGCTCAGTGTAACTCAAATATGACTTTGAAAAGAGGGCTTCATCTTTCTTCTATTCAGTTTAACGGCTGAATTTTTATTTGATGCTTTACCTCGTGCTTGCTTTGTATGACTTGTAGAAGTTTGATCAAGGGTTTCATCATAGCTGTTTAATTTGTATGTCTTCAATAATTACTTATTTGACTATGTATCTGGTAGTGGTGCATTCATAAAGAAAAACCTGCAAAGTAAGAATATATTAAAAACTCAGACTCAGAGCTTTGTAATTGGTGGGTATTTTAATAGAATGGTTGAAAAGTAACTGCATGTATTGATATTGTCTGTCTGTAAAAAAATTTCTGGTTTAACATAGACGTCATAATCGCCTTATCTTTTATATACAAGTAATGAAAAATTTCTGGTTTAACTGACCATTGTCTTTGTCAGTAAGTACCAATGGTCTTCTGTTAACACAAACTTAGTTTTATACCAGTCCTAATTAACTGAAATCCTTTATACAAGTAATGAAAATATTAATGTATAATCTATGATAAAACTTGATGGAATTTCCAGTTTTTTACTAAAACTTGAGTAAATGCATCTGCTGATTTTTAATGCAATCCTTTCTTTACATGAAAAAGGGTTCTCATTTTACACAACATACCTCACATGCTCAAATTATTATCACTGCTCTCTACCATAGAATAATTCATCATTTAAGGTCAACCCCATGTCTTATTTTTTTTTTTTTATAAATAAAAAAAGTTTATTTGGCAGAGAAAGAAGATCCAATAAGGTCTTAAAGGTATTGAGGTGTCTTGGCATTGAAAGGGAAGTGAAGATCATTTGAGGAGTGGTTGAGAAACTCTGAAGTTCCAAGTAAAGATTAGTTTTGTGACACTATGAGGAATTAAAACTTGATT